GATTCTGGATTCCAATTGTTAGTGGGATTCCGGATTCCTACAGCTGTATTCCGGATTCCAAAGCCCAGGATTCCAGATTCCACGAGTAAAAATTTCCCGGATTCCGGATTCCCTTACATGGGGCGAACCTTTGCTCCCAAGATCTTCATGGAAGGGGAAAAATTTAATAAATAAGGTCACTAAGGTTGATTTATGAGTAAGAATTATCGGTTACTTGAAAAAGGGAGAACAAGGAGGAGTCCAAAAACTGATTAGCCAGAATTGCAGATGTACTGTTTATAAACGAAACGAGGTTGGATCGAGATTGCAACGACGTAGAAGCAGCCACAGTAACTAACAATATCAAGACACCAACAGGAACATCACTTTCTCATTAATACACCGTCTCTCTCAAAGGACTAATAATTCGCAATAAGGGGCGGGGGGGGGGGGAGGGGGGAGGAAGGAATTTTGCGCAGTTCCCCCAATCCCAGAAAAAAAAATCATGAACAACCTTAGGAGTCTATCAGTCAAGTTTGTAATCTCCGCGTACCAGTTTAAGGGTTGTTCAACGGTGAACGATGCGGAAACTAATAAAAGCAGGAGCGGATTTAGGATAAATGGTTACCGATTTCCTAACCGAGCGCCGAAGGCGCAAGCTTCTAAGGGGCAGGGGGGGGAGGGTCCGGGGGTCTGCACCTTGGGGTAATTTTCATGGGATTCTAACTCTCTAAAGTCACCTTTCCTGGGTTTCTGAGTTATTCAGACGGGATATTGGCCAGATTTTAACTCGGAAAGTTCTCTTCATGAAAAATATATTTATGAACATATAACCATTTTGTTGGTAAAACGGTGGGGTCTCCAGAACGGGTTATTATGGTAAACGTGACGGCTGCTTTTGAACAATGGAACAAGTCATGCATAAATAGATGGCAAAAGAGATTATTGAGCTGCAATAATTATGATGGGTGTTTGAGATTTATGTAAAATAATTATACAATACTTATTCACAAGATCAAATTCAAACAACTTTATTAATTCGAGGTTTATTTATAGTGCTTACAACACTTTTCATGTCGAGTTGACATGATAATTTAATCACAGTTTTAAATAACAATTTCACTTCAAAATTTTTCTGATCAAAGATATATAGTTCTGTTATATTTAAGTGTTCGGTCGAGGGCGTTGTCCATTGCATGTGGTGTGTTTCGTGCCTCGTTAAATCTAGTAACCTGTTGGATAAATAAAATATTCGTTAGCTATTTGCAGCCGTATGTCTGAGGAAACGACATTTAATTTGTAGCAGTTTAGTGCTTCATTGATGGTTTGGAATTCCCCTCATCACTTTCCTTGTCAGATCTATTCAGAACGGAAGGTTCCAGGTCTTAAATTCTGAAAGCTTTTCCGGTGGCGGCATTTCCCTTGGTACGTCACAACCTATTCAGCACTTTCAAATTGAAATTCAAATTTCGCAAACAAGTACAATGATCTTTCACGTTTAAAAAGAAATTTCAGAATAAATTTCATCTTTAATGTGATAATTGCCAGAATAAGGGCAAAGAGCATACATATTTACGGCTGGGTGAGGACGCCTCGCATAAGGATCTGAACATTTCAGTTGTTCACTGGATTACTAAAAACTGCTTAAAGGATCGACGTCAAAGGGCCTTGAGGTAATCCATATACTGGCACTGAAATAAGTGTTACCAAAATGATTAATTGGATTGGTTGAGGGTGAGAGGCAAGAGAAAGAGCAGCTTCAAACTGTTGGCCTGGGCTGGTCCCCCCCACCCGTAAAATATCCATTGGTCTCTGACAGAAGATAATCCTTCTTAGTAAAATTCAGCTAGTGGTCAATGCTGCGTTCTGATTGGTTGAGCTACTAATAGGCTGTATGTTATAGCCCACTAGTAGCGAAAAGTGCGGGCTTTTTGGCGGCAAAAAAGGATTAAAGTCTAGCTTTAATTAGCTAAAATTTCTTTATTCTCGATATTTTTGACCAACTAGTTGGATTTTACTAAAACAATTATTCCTCTCACCCTCATGGCCTCTGAGTTAATAGCCCATTCGGCCTTCAGCCTCATGGGCTATTGACTCAGAGCCTATTCAGGCTCAAGGAATAATTGTCAATTAACTGTCCCCGTTTTGGTGACAAGCCTAATGACGCTCAAGGAGTAGAAACTACAAGGCACAATGGTATCAACTAACCAGAAACTTCCACTCTAAGACAGTTCCAGTTTTGCTGTTTGGTCGGATTAAAACGAAGGTATCTTGCTGTAATTGTCACTGGTAGCTTGTGGACAGTTACCATGGAACTGTTAGCCACCGCTACTCTGTGAAATTCCTATACATATGAAATGAGAGAATGAGAAGTTTTCGCTAGTCTGAGTCACTGATGACTGGATACCACTTTGGAGCGAGAATTATTGGTACTGTTAATATTATATACTAAGCACGCTAGAGGAAAATATTTGAAAGTTGAAATAATGTATTCTAAGTAAACCGTGTCACTTAACAGTGATGATTAGAGTGGTTTTCGTTTGAGTGTCGTAAAACCAAAACCAAAGTAATTACTCTGGCCAATCAGGTAGGACACAGACAATACATTGAACCAATCAAAACTCGAAGTAATTACATGTGGCTGACGCAAAGCGCGGGAAAATGCATGCGAGCGCGTCACAGTTGGCTTTGGTTTTACTTCTGATTGGATGAAAAGGTGGCGCGAATCTTTTAAGCCAATCGCATCGTGTAGAAAGTGCAAAACCAATTACTTTTCGACACTCAAATGAAAACCGCTCTATATTGAAATTAACAATCTTGAAGATCTGGGATGCCTCTCAGGCCACTCTTTAGAACGTATATTTCTAAAGGTTAATGTTTTCGGGGTAGCCATGGCCGTGATTTAAAACAAGAACCTGAAAAAACGGGCTGAGGCAACAATAGGCAACTAAAGCTACAAAATTTCCGTCTGCGTCAGTTATTTTCAGTAATTTCTTAAAGCAATATTTTAGGACATCACACAAGATAAATTTTGGCGATTTTTCTCCATTGATGCTATAACGACGGCATTCGCCCGCCATCTGCTTTCTCAAAAGCATTGTCTTCAGGTTCACTTGGCTCGACTTTAAACACCCAGTAGGGGGAAAGAAGGTGTATTGAGGGAGATGTGCAAATGGCGAATTCTGCTATTGACGTGAAGAAAATTTGCATTTCGATATAAGGAGTCAAAAATGTTTAGATTAAAGAATCTCACCACTTGAGCCCCATTTGCATTCATATAATATCTCCATGAAATTCCATCTGTTGAGTAGCGCAGCTTGAAATCTGTAACCCATCTATTGCCATTAACTTCTCCCTGGGCGGACAGTGAACAGACTTTGACTGTTCTTCCAAGATCCACCTGTAGCCAGTCATGCGTGCTGCTAGCTGTGCCTGCGCACCATCCGTTGCCTCTCACACCATTAAGTCGACCGTAACTAGGCCTTGTTAGATCGCTTTGTCGAGACGAAGCGGTCATTTTGCTGTCAGGGATGATGTGGGAACTAGAAACGCCGATTCCGGTTGCACCGCTACATTTGTTGCCTGGGGTCCCTGTGCAAAATTTAACAAATAAAAAAATTAATTGCACTGACCTAAAGCTCAGTGTAAATTAATGTTAAATTCTATCAATTTAAAAACTAAATTTTGCGATGAACGATCATGACAACGCTTGAGTATAGTTTTTTTTTGGAAAGACAAGGAAGGCGTACTCACCAATAACCAGCATGTTAACAGTCACCGGGTCATAGCCATTTTCATTTGTCAGTTCTTTAATACAAACACGGCAGTTGGTTGTATTGATTTGCTAAACACAAAATAGAAAAATACAAAAAAGTATAAGTATCACACGAGTTTCCATTTCCTTTCTTCCTGTCTTCTTAGAGGTTTTAACAGCTCATGTTAACTGAAGAATTTAATCAGTTTAACAAGCACGTATTTATGAATATCTTTATGGGACACGACCACACGCCCACATTAACTCTGTTCTAATTTTTTATCGTTTGTTTATAAGTGCTATTATTCTGGGCAAAATTCCATATAGATTGAGATGCATTTAGCAAAAAGGCATTCGAAAATCTTTACAAAAGAATCTGATGACTTCAGCTCTGATTTCTAACTCGTCATTTGCAGAATATTATTAAAAGTAACAAAAACGGCTGGTACATCGAGATACAATGTATTTTCTTCCTAATAGCAATTATTCCAGGGTTGACTAAGGTAAAGTTTTAACATAACGGATCTTACTTACCTCTATCCATGGTGCAATGCTGTTGTAGAGTGGATTGATTAGATTCGCTCCCGCTGCGTGTGCTGCTGATGCAATCACTGTTGGTGCTGAACTGTACGTTTTGGAAAAACCAAAGATCTGAAAAATAAACAACTAATGTTCAGTCCAAAAAACGAGGGGAAATATTTTCAAATAAATACAAAAAAGATCATCGCAGTTGAAGACGCAACTAGTTTCGTCGTTATAATATACCTATGTGCCGGTGAGTTTGCTCTTTATTAATCAAGTATTCTCAGTGAAGGCTCATAATTACGAGAAGCATTTAAACAGTCAATGAGTTTAAAAATGCCCACTTACAAGGACATCCCCGTGCAATTTAAGATGACGTTAAATATCACAGGCGTATCGCAGCCAACCAACTGTGCATTCTTACGATCTTACATCCGAGGAACTTTTAGATTTTACCTCATGGTGTGCTGTCTCGCACACATGCACGACACCTTTTTTCCATGATTTCATTTAATAATGGTGACTGGCCTTTTATTTGTCTTGGGTCAAACGTTTCAGTCAAAACATCGTTCCGAAGATTTAATTCTTGCAAAGAAAGTGGACTGTAAGTTTAATCAAGGGGACCAACCTGACAAAAAGCGTTGTGATCGTCAGGACTGGGCAGTCCACTGTTTGGGAAATACAGATCAAGTTGCTGGGATAAGAGAGTCTCTGGTAGTTTTCGATAAGCAATCCAGTTCTGTAAAACACAAAATTGTTAAGACAAAGATTAAGATTCACGTATACGTTAAGCGGTAGAGGTGAATTTGTACCACGTGACCAAGTTTTCCCCTTATTTTCAGTTTACCCTTTATTGCTTCTACACAAAAATAAGTAGGTTTATGTCAGTTTTAACCATAGGAATCGTTCGGGATGTATATATGCTAATTTTCTACTCTGAGAAATTCTCAACTTGAGTCTGACGTGCTGACGTGTCTGATGCTGATCATTCTTTGGGCTTAAATTAGGGAATTACTTTTACTCTTCTGCAAACCTTTGACATTTATTAAATTGTACTACCACATTCCTCTCTGTTTCTTCAGTTACAAGGATCGAAAAGGGCAAAGTATATGGTCCTTAGCTTACCACTTTAATGTCTTTATGCTGTCCATCAAAGTTTTGCAGTTCCCTTAAGCACACTGTGAATGCGTTTGTCTTGATATTTTCAACCCAAACCGTGGCGGCGTCGTGTTTTACGGATGCCTTTGTGTGCTCTGCTGTAACCAATACGTATGGTGGGACATCGAACGTTTTCTGGAATTATTGAAATTTTAATGTATTTAAAATTAGTAAATGTGAAATCTTTGTTTAGAAGTTCAAAACTTGAAAGAAATTCTTTTGCTTTCATTTGAACGAACAGCTCTGCATTACCGCATATGTAAGAACAAAGAATGGTGCTTTTGGCCAAAGAGCAATAATGTACGCAAAATATTTTCTCTGATCGTTCGCTTTTACGTTTTAATCACATATTAAGGAAAACCGGTATGCTGTATAGCGAGGAAGTATTTGTTATTTCGTTTATCGATTTTAGTTAAGAACTGCTTGTGATGAATTGCTTTTGCATTGGACGAAAAGTTCTCTAACTTTGTTCTCACCAGTAGCGATAAAAATCTGATTCACTTACTAGGCTCATAATTGCTATACTTACTATCCATCAATGTCTCTTTTGTACTAATTTTAGAACTAAACGCTAATACCAGATTTGTCATATAAGCTTACCGATAAAGGAATCATCTGGCATTGAGTTCCATCCCACCAATTTTTCATTGGAATGTTAGCAGCTATTGTGTCAACAGGTGCCTCCTGAAAGGCGATGTAGTCCACAAACGTGATCCCGCCATCTGGTGTCACGCGTTCTGCTCTCCCTGCCTTAAGTGCGCACACTTCAAAGGCAGTGATGTTAACATTTTCGACCCAGGTTACAGCGGCGTCGTGGACGAAGCTCCCGGTGTAATTGAAGTAGTTGATGGTTGTTTGTAAGTGAACTGATCCTCGGTTAGCGTCGAAACTCGCTTTGAATTTGACAAGTCTGCACTGGACATCGACTTTATCGAGACGAAGGGCAACACGACCTCGTTGAATGACGAATGCTGCAAAAGCCATCATGAGAAAATAAAATCAGCGCACATCCTAACTTACTCCTACTTAAGTCTGCAAAACAGTCCGTATTTTTTGTAGGTCAAGCACGTCGAAGCGATCAAATAAAAGTGCTAGAGCGATGGTGAAAACAAGTGCAAGACTGTGTGAGGCTCGCGCACTCCGCGAGAATATGCCACGTGCGCCTTGAGGAAGAAACCGACCAGTCTTTAAAGCAGACGACATTCAACAAGGCCAAAAAACGCCATCAATGCAATGCTGGAAAGCTATTTTAGTGCTAACTTACAGCAATCTCTGGTTTGACCCTCGCTCTAGTGCTTCTGGGAGCTTATAACACGATATGCTCTGGGCTCTGAAATTCGCGCCGCAATCTATCATTCACTGCAGTTGTCTTTTCAGCATTGCTAATTTAACTACACCGTAATATCTCGGTTTTTAGATCTCATTTCAGTTAGAAGCTGATGTTTTTGAAGCCTAACTTGGATTACTCTCTTAATACGCAGTTTCGTTGTGTCGTTTTTACATGCATTTTGCAAATTTGAATTTGATAAAATCCAATACTTACGTTTGCAGCCTCCATAGTGTTTAATCCCGGGTTCTTCTTTATCCAAACAGACTTTGTACTTGTATTTACAGATGCTTTGGTGGGTGACATCGTTGTTGTCGCAGAGTGGTTCTGATTCATTAAATTTGCAAGGTTGGCACGTGCAGTTGTATTTAGTTTCACTGATTGGTTGACATACTGCGTAATATGGACATGTAACGCCAATGCATGGGTTATAATCTGAAAAAGAAAAATAATGGCTTGTGAAAAACCTCAAGTTAAAAGCTCCAATCAGAGTTACATTAGGCGCGAGATTAAATGTTCAGATCAGCTTGTTAAGAAAGTTAATGCTTCGGCTTCATTCAGTGGCAGTCTTCATGGTGACATTTAATATGAACGGACCGTGTATTTAGCATGGCAGTAGCTCCAAATTGCTAATGAAATGACTTTTTTTATTCATTTCCGAGTCCTTACTGAGCGTTACAATGCTAGTATGTCACCTTTAGAAGGTAGTCAAAATGTTTCAAGAACGCTTATTGAAAGAAAAATGATGTCTCTGTCAGTGGACGTTTTTGCATGCTGCATACTTACATCCAACAGCCAAGAAATTGACAGTGATTTGGTCGTGAGTTGCATCATATCTCTGGATGTCTTTCAGACAGACTTCAAAGTTCGTCTTGGATACACTCTGGTCAATACA